TCAGTAGTGTGATGAAAATGCACCACCTGCAGACAGAGTTGATTAATCACATTAATGCTTCAGGAACTGATTTTCTGTCCTCCAGCACTTATATCGCGATAAGGATCCACGAGACTGGGGTCCTCAGGGTCCCAGTATGAGCTCGAAAACAGGGCTACAAGACCTACTAGTCCAGCTGGCTCGGTTCTACAGAGCCAATGAGGCCAGCATCTCGGCTGATCAAGTGTCGAAGTGTCTGGAGCTTCTTCCAGCGACGGAGAGCTCGGCTTTAGACCGACTGTTCAGCTTATTGTTGCACCGCAAAACTGTTAGTGCCCCTTGCTTCCGGTGGTTCGGTGCCGCTGTATCGGGATGATAATTATAGCTCCAACTGATAGAACCGGTTTATTTCCTGCCAGTCTTCACCCGCAAGGCAAGACGATGTGCCTTCAGTGGCTGCTCGGGCATCCAAAGCTCGTGCCCAGCAGTCTTCTCCTATTTCGCATGCCCGCCAACAAAGGTCGCCCGAAGTCCACCCTGCTCGCCCCCTGATCCCCGAGGCAAATGATTGCCAGGAAGACGTGTCCTTTGTCCGACCAAGGCCGGAAGAGTCCGACCCTTGTAGCCAGAGCACCTCTCCTTGCTCGGACATCGATGACCAAAATACCACTGCAACCACTCCAGCCATCACTCCAACACCGCCGGCTACAGGACCGCCAACGCCCCTCCACGTTGCGGCCGAAGATGACACGTTCAGCACAATAACATTCTCACCAAGGATTAGACGCCTCCTAGAAGACTGCAAAACAGACCGTGGAGGATTCCTACGTGCAATCGGAGAAGCCAAAGCGGCCTTCCCGACCGGGCAGGGCTGGGAAGCCGCGATAGCCACCAAAGAAGATAACGCGGACATGCGCGATTGTATGAAGATCTACCATAGATTTGAATGCTACAACATCTACCGGCACGTTGTCGAGGCCGGGTTCCACACAGGCACACATTGGATCCGGGATTTGCGCACTGCACTAGCGAACAAGCTCTGCCAGGAATTTCCCCAGCGGTTCCACAACCAAAAGGCCGCCAATAAAAGCCTGAACTGGGTTGATCATGGCTGCAAGTATCGTGAGTGGGCCGACAATTTCAGGAACAACCCAACCGACCTGGGATATCTTATCGCATTACCTATAGACGTGCCTCACTCAGCGTATGCTTCCCCCCATCTCCCGTCCCCCACCCTTCTTCAAGCAACTCAGTCTCAGCAAGTCCCTCCAGGTACACATCAAGATACACCAAGGAGAGAAAACACGCATCCGTCATCAAACTGAAGAGTCTGGGCATCGATGACCTGGTGAGAGACCTTGAACTCTCAGCACTGGGCGACCACATCGCGGCGACATTGAGGGATATGACAGGCAGGAAGCGCAAGGATGTTCCTGGTAAGGCCCTTGAATCGTCAGAGTGAGCCGTCAAATGCTTATCTATCCGACTAAGGAGAGATCATGCCGGGTACCCGCAAGTCGCCGCGCGTGACGTCGTCGAGCCCCAGGGTACTAGCTGCACAGCCCGGCCAAAACCCTACCCCCCCGGAGTCGCTGGCTGCCAGTACAGACGGCAATAATACCCTGAACCCACTAGGCCAGCTCACCAGTGTCAGTATCTGCCGTTCTATAGCAGATGACTATGCGGTTCCATATAATGATCCATTCAACAACAGTACGTCATAACTTTCCTGCGTCCCCAGTCTGCACGCTAACAGGAAGGCAGTGGATTTAAGCCCGTCCTCCTATTCAGGGCTTTTTGACAATACCGGATATAATGCCGCCCTGGACCAATTCGATGAGTTGTATCGGGATGCAACTTATACCGACAATCTGTCACAATTTAGGACCACTCCCCCCATGCATGTGCAGCATACGAACTTCTTTTCGTAGCGGACAATAACACCGCTTTCGGTCTGGTCAGGGCTCTTGAACGCTTCAGCTCATGTACCAACAGTGGCTACCGCTTTATGGATGCTACAGCTCTGAACATGAATTGATACGAAAGTTGAGAGTCAATCACCCTCGATTGTAGAGACCCGGGTTCCCTCTTAGACAGTCTGCTTGGTCGCCCCAAGATACCCCTTCCGCCCAGTCAACATGGCGCCATGCACTGTCGGATCAAGACTGGCCTCACGAAACAGAGAATACTTCTGATTATGCCACTCGACACTATTGATCTGCCTTCCAGCATTATCCGTAAACTTGACATCGAATTCCGGTCGCAGGAAGTAGATGCACGAGAACTTGTCCTGTCCGGGCGAGTGCGGCGGAGGCGGCGGCACGACGCGATGCAGAGACGAGACTAGTGCCCCCCTGGACAAGAAACGCAGCGAGTCGCCAACGTTCACAACGGCGTGTCCAGATCGCGGGGGGATGTACGACCATTCGTCCGCCCCGGATGCCCCAGGCAGTAATGCCTGGAGCCCTTCGGACTGGGTGAAGACAACAGTCAACGTCCCCATGTCGGTGTGTGCCATGTTGCCGACTTTCTCGGCGTCGCTGCTCCATGGGAGGTACTTGAGTAGGGCGATGTTGGCAGAAGATGGCTTGTCCTTCCGGTGACAGTCTTTCAGGTCGTAGGGGAGATCAAGCGCCTTTGAGAGGATGGACAAGATGCATTCGGTGTAGTGGTGGACTTGGCTCATGAAGGCCTTCACCAAGGGTAGGTTTTCCTGGAAGCCCTGAGGGAGCTGCAGGTTGTCGTCCCCAAAGACGCCGTTGTTGTGAATCTACATGTTGAGCTAGAGAACGTTTGCGAGGCGGGAAGGGACAGACATACCGAGAAGCTCTCGTAGCCATCCTTCTTCTCAGCAAAGGGTCCAACAGAGCAACCGGCTCGTTTATATCTAGCACTTAACGTCATTACCGCGAACGAACCTGCAACGGGGGGAGACAAAACGTACCCTTGAAGCCTTGATGGCAGATGCTTCTCGGTGCTATACTTCTCCTTTTCTTCGAGTGGGAGCTTGAAAACCGAGTTTCCGACGTCAACGAGCTCATCGACCTGCTTCAAAGTCTGGGATGTACGGGCATCACGGAAGTCAAGGTAAAAGAATCCATTGGTCTTGCATGCAGACACGAGATTGTTCACGGCATCGACGTCGCCCTCCAGAAGACCGGCGAGAGAGATCGAGTGTAGCTCTGCCCGAGTGGTCGTGGAAGACGCCATTTTGAAGACTAACGACTCAGTGAATGGTAGTATGAGTACGGTGGATAGTCGAATCGCAGGTTTAAAGCAGAGGTAGAACCTTTAAATATTCGCCTCTCCATATGTTTCACCTGATAGACAGTGGCATTACTTAGCTGATTATAGAAACCTGATGACGAGAGCTCCTTTTAGCTGTGTGCAACCAAGTTCTGTCGGAAAAGAAGCAGACCACCCATGGATCTTTCACTACAAACTGATGCATACATGTGATACATACATAAACAGAAGGATGCATTTAGTCTCTTTAAATCCAACGAATCGTCCCTATCCTCACCACACCACGATACAGCAGAAAGCCAAAATGCTCAACACGAAGGACTACAATGCCTTGAGCCTGGCCCAGCCCACGAACTTCAAGGGCATGCTGAAGTCCGGCGAGCTGCTCTGGGGCACTGGATGTCGAATCCCCCATCCAGAGGCGGCACGAGTTGTTGCTGCGACGCCGTACCATTTCTGTTTCTTGGACGCGGTAAGCCCCAATGTGCCTGCTGCGAAATACTACTTCCTACCAGGAATCTGAGTCCTGTACAGGAACATGCGCCTCTCAACGCAACCCTCCTCGTCAGTTTGATCCGAACAATCCAATACCACTCTAATGGCTCCATGGTACCCTTCGTCCGAATCCCAAGATGCTCACCCGAGCTGTACAACTACGCTCTGGGCGCTGGCGCTGGCGGAGTGGTTATGCCACACGTCCAGAATGCAAAACAGGCAGAGGAGTTGGTGCGGCTGTGCCGGTTTCCACCGCTGGGGGGCCGCAGCTTCCCCCCTGCAGCTCTGATCGGCGAGCAGCAGAACCGAACCCCAGAAGGAAAGACAACGTATGACGTGTGGGATGAACATGCCGCTGTGATTTGCCAGATTGAAGATCTAGAGGGGCTGGAGAATGTCGAAGAGATTTGCCGAGTCCCAGGTGGTGCGTCTTTCCTTCAAACCCTCTAGCGATCTGTTAGATGAGTGGGCAGCCCCATGTGCTAACACTCCACACTTGGTCTTCGGCAGTGGACGGTCTGTTCGTTGGCACAGGTGATCTGCGCATGTGTCTGAACCTAGCCCACGGGTCGCTCGACGGCGATGAAGCCATCTTTCTCTCTGCGCTTCGCAAGATCCGAGATGCGGCAAAGGCCAATCACCTTCCCATTATGGGATTCGGCATCTCACCTTCCGCGGTGGAGCTTAGGAGGGAGATGGGCTGGAATGCGTTCATCATCCATGGGGACATTGATGCCATCTGCACGTCGGCCGTCCAGTCTTTGCAGACGTACACTGATGCGGCCTCTGGAGCTGGGGCCAACGGGTGTCCATCCGTGCGAGGGAAGAATGGTGGGCCAGCCTTGAGGTAGGCGAATGCAGTGGCAGTTCAAATTCAGTCAGTGGAATGATTTTCTGCGGCATGCCTGCACTGTGTATGACTCGGTGGAAGGAGGGAAAACTTACAGGTACTTGATCTGCAGCGACATAGGGAGAGTGGTATCCGAGATCAGACAATAGTAGCTTGAACGACTGTTGGTATATAGAGTTAGTATTGCTTTTACCCTTTTTTGAAACAGACTCGCCCTGCACTAAGGTTCTCTTCTCTTACGACTACAACATCCCACTATCATCCATTTGGCTGTTTAGTCCGTTCAATTCCAGCGAAACAACTGTTCAAGTCCCCAATGGCGAACCTCGAAAGCAACGTGAAAGCCGTCATCGCAAAAGAGTTCAAAGTACCCGTCGATGAGGTATGCTGTCGGAAATATAATCCACAGAGTTGTATTGAACATGATCTCCATTTAGCTCACCACCAACGCCGACCTTAAGAATGGCCTTGCCGTAGGTGACTGTGGAAGGCCACAGCTATTAACCGCCCTGCAAGAGGTTCAACGGCCAGGATTGTTAGATAGCTTGTGAGTCATCTTGCTAACGTGGGTTTTAGAGGTTTGATATCTATATCACGGACGAGGATACGGACGCATTCACTACGAGTAGGTCATCAATTGTTCTATTATAATTTCTTCCGGCGACTAACGCAAGGCCGTTTTGTAAAAGTCCAAGATGTTATTGACTACGTTGCGACAAGGCTGTGGTGGTACGCAATTTAGAGGGCGATGGTACTGGTGTTATTCGTTATCCGGAGACTTTCATCTGCTGTTGCTGTTGTCTATTGCTAGAGTATGATCTTGAGATAGTGGGCTTAAATGATGCGTTCGCAGATAAGGTATGAGCTGCACAGTAGCTTTATAATGCTGTGACCCCGAGACACTTACTCTGCTGTGTAACTGCAGCAAAGCTCCATGTTCTCTCAAATATCATTAAATCCCCAGGTCTACCAGTGTTCCTGAGCTCTGACACCTCAATCTTCACGCCTGCATACTCTTGCGATCATGACGGCTGACGTCCTACCACCTCCTACCCTTCCCGACGACATTCTCTTTTCCAGGCTCCTGAAAATAGCCAGGCAAAGAGATGCGAATATCATCGTCAATGACTCCAGCCGTGGCGCACAGTTCAGCTACCGTCAAATCCTCGATGGCACTGTGAAACTAAAACAGAGGCTACAAGCACTCCTTGACAGGTCTACGCTGGACAGACCCGGCAGTTTCTATGTTGCTCTCCTGGCTCCGAATGGATATGAATTTATTATTGGGGTTCTTGCTATCCTGGCAATTGGCGGAGTAGTCGTGCCGATGCGTAAGGACACCCCGTTATAGAATATGATTTGACTGGAAGTATGGGTGGTTAGCAATGTGCATATTAAAAAACAACAGCAACAGGCGCACTCCCTGCAGAAGCATCGTACATTCTTCAGCAATGCGATGCACGATATCTCCTTGCCACCTCGGAGCTGGCCAGTTTCGCTGCGCAGGTCAAAGAGCAAGTCAAGATCCCTTCTCTTATCATCGAGAGCAATGAAGACGCCGCCGACAACAACCTCCTCCCAGTCACAAGCTATACCCTCGACCCAGCCCTCGCAGTATCCGAAGAAACCCCGAGTATACTATTCTTCACATCAGGAACCACCGGCCCCCCAAAGGGCGTACTGCACGCCCGCCGAACAATAAACAAGTACGCCCGACAAGACGAAGCAGCACCGCAGCCAAACGACGAGCTGTGCATCATCCCGCGCGGCGCATTCTGGTCGATTTACTTCACAAAGCTATTCCAGATGCTGCTGACGGGCATCCGCGTCGAGATCCACAACTTCGGCCGAAACTATCACCTGATCTGGGAGAAGTTGCGCGAGCAAACGGCAACCAAGATCGTGTTGTCTCCGACCTTTTGGTATGGCATGATGGTGTATTTTCAGAGGCATGTGTCTGCTGAGTTGCCGCGCGATGTTGTTGCTGAGTATGTAATGGGGGCACAGTACCTGCGTGATGCCTGCGCAACGGGTGCCATGCCCTCGGCCCGGGTTAAGGAGTTCTGGCGGGAGATACGTGGAGGTCGGCCGTTGAAGGTGTTGTATGGGTCTACGGAGACACAGGAGATAGCTATGTGCGATATGGAGTCGGGGGATGTAGAGGTGCGACTTCGACATCGCCATTACCAGTGCTCCATTGGCTCTGGGCCGCTGTGGATATATGGCTAACAGCTGCGACCAGGATGACTTGGGAAGACCACTTCCGAATGTGAGAATGAAGCTATCTGAAGGCGAGGAAGGGGAGGTCCTTGTCAAGACGCCGTCTTTATTCCTCGGGTGAGTAGACGTATCTTCTTTGTCTTGCGATAATAAAAGGCACTAACAAGGGTTGTACTGCAGGTACTTGAACTCCCCCGATGCTACCGCAAAACGTTTGGACCCGGAAGGCTTTTTCAAAACCGGAGATCTGGCCATCCTACAAGACGGACGGTACATATTTAAAGGAAGGGCAAACATGGATCGTCAGTATTCCCTCCCGCCTCTTTCTGGCTTTCTGCGTCGGCTGACAATCATCATTCCGGTTTCAGTATTCAAGTTCTACACCTACAAGGTTCCCCGAGGACAAGTCGAGGCTGCCCTCACGGCACTTCCATACGTCGCAGAGGGGTATATCATGCCCGTTGCAGATCCACAGTGTGACACACGAACAGCCGCGCTGGTGCGGTTCCACAAGAAAGATAGTGGTCAGGGAGTGGATTTACAGGCTCTCCGGAACGATATGGCTACGAAAATGAGCCTCCCGGCGTACCAGTTGCCAACTGTGTTGAGGATTTTGAGAGAGCACGAATCTGTTCCCCGGACATGGTCGGATAAGACCGCCATGATGAAGGCGGTTCATATGTTTTTCCCGCTGGATAGCGAGGACAAAATTTGTGGGGAGGAGACGGAGGTTTTGGATGTAAGTGGTTTCATGACGATGCAGACGACGAAGTTGTGGGAGTTATCAGGGATGCGGTAGAGTCTAGAGAACTACGCAGATGGGTTGACTGGAATGAATAACGGGATGATGGCGCCTTGATGGCTTGAACATGCTTACCTTCACGGAGAACTAATTAATAGCTTATCTTCTGTTTTCTTGACAGCGGTTGGCATTCTACTGATTGTGGTTATTGCTCACTCCCACATTATCATTCATAGTTGGTATAGATAACCTTCCAGTCTTTAATCTCCAATGTCAGTATCCGAAAGCCCATCTTCCCAAGAGGCAGCCTTGTCCTACACAGCTGCGGGGAGAGCGACAAGCTCCTGTATGGATTCCTTGATAATCTCCAGCGCCTGGTCGAGTTGAGAGTCTGAAATGACAAGGGGAGGCGCGACCCGAATTACGCCTGTCCGACTCGATTTCAGCTGCAGAACAGAGTGTTTAGCCAGGTATACCAAAAAGAAAAGCAGCGGAGCTGGTTGCTTACCAAAAGACCCTTCTGTTTCATCAGCTCGCACAGCTCTATGCCTGTATGTCCATTGGCCTTGGACTGGTCAATGACGAACGCGTTGAGCAGCCCTCTACCGCGGACCGTTTGGATAATAGGGCCCGGAATCTGCGCCTGGATAGCAGATAGACCGTTACGAAGGACCTGACCAAGACGTTCCGCGCGTCCGACCAGGTCTTCCTCTTCGACCACTTGGAGAGCACGCATGGCAACTGCCGCGCTGAGCGGATTACCACCATAAGTTGAGCCATGGGTTCCGGGCTCGAGGGTAAGCATCACTTCGTTATTCCCTAAGACACAGGACATGGTGCACATGCCGCCTGTCATGGTCTTGCCTAATAGTACCATGTCAGGCCTGATTCCACTCCAGTAGTGACCAAGGAGCTTTCCAGTCCGCGCAATGCCAGTCTGGATTTCATCACAGACTAGAAGAACAGTGTGCTTGTCACAGAGGGCTCTTGCCTCCCGCAGATAGTCATCGTCGGCCACAATGACGCCTGCATCTCCTTGGATTGGTTCGATGATGAAGGCGGCCAAGTTGAAGCCCGCTGCCTCAAAAGCATCTCGTAGCGCTGCCTTATCATTGATGGCGATCAACTTGTCGGTCCCAGGAACTGAGCAGCTGATATTCGGAACTAATGGACCGTAGTTTCCACGCGACAACTCATCAGAAGCCAAAGAGATCGTGGCTAACTATACAACAGAACATCGATGTTAATACAGTTCGACCACAATCGTTTTTCATTCACGTTAATCCAGGGTGCTACTCACTGTCCGTCCATGGTGGTTACCTGCAACACCAAGGACAATAGCTTTGTCCTGCGGAACACCTTTGACCTTATAAGCCCATTTGCGCGCGACCTTGATTGCAGTTTCAGACGCCTCAGCGCCAGTACTCGACGGCAGGACCCGGTCATAGCCAAAAAGCCTGGTCACAAACTCCGCGAACTGGGGGTATACATCGTTGTGGAATGCGCGGGAGGTCAGGGTCAATCGTGATGCCTGCTCAACCAACGCTGTGACGAGTTTCGGGTGGCAATGGCCATGGTTAAGGGCAGTTGAAGCAGCGTGGAAGTCGAGATAGTGATTTCCCTCGGGATCCCAGACAGAGGCACCCTGGGCTCGGGCGAAGACGATGGGGAGCGACTGATAGTTTCTGGCCGAGAAATTCTTTTCAGCCAGCAGGGCGGCTTCCGTGCTGGCAGCGCGGTTGGCTACGGACTCGTGTGGCATATTGGACTCCATGGCGAGAGGGAGGCAATGATTGACGGACGCTGAGGATAGAGAAAAACGAGGTGAAACGCTTGTGAAATGGCTGAAGAGAGGAGGGGGGTTAACGGGCAGGAGACTGTACGGCATCAGCAGCGTCTTTAGCCATATTCTTCAAGTTGTTTAGTTGGTGTACCTATCCACATGTGGACTGTAACTGCACCACAAAGGGTAACCCTAAATGGTTATTAATGTCTGAGGTACATATAGCGGGGTCATCTAGGACACTGCCCCACGTCCAACCTAGCATTCACCAGTCCTGGTCTGGCTTAAGGACTCTGTGGTCTGGCATTTTAATCCGCCCCTCCTTTTCCCTCTTTTTTTCACTGTTCGCACTCATCCCCTAAAGCAGAAGCACTCCTTGTCCCTTGCCAGAGTAATCACAACAAGATGAATTACCAACGAATGCCCATTGAGAAGGAGGCGCCTGAGGAGGTCGGTGCCGTGATCAAGTACAATCTCTCAGAGAGCGCTATATCGGATCAGACACTGAAGTCGTTGACCATCACCTTCCCCCCAGATGCTGCTCTGACCTACGCAGAACACCAGGGCAGTCGTGAGATCCGCCGTCTCGTCGCCCAAGCCTCAGGCAGGCCGATCACCCCAGACCATGTCCTCGTCACAGGAGGCGCTTCAATGTCGCTGTTCATCATCAAAACCGCCCTTCTCGGTCCCAAAGACCACGTCGTCGTCATTCGGCCCAACTACGCCACCAACCTGGAGATTCCACGCTCCGTCGGATGCGACATCACTTTTATAGACCTCGAGTTTGAATCGCAGTATCGCTTGGACATCAACCGCGTCGCCGCCGCCATTCGCCCTGGCGTCACCAAACTCATCAGCATCTGCTCCCCCAACAACCCCACTGGCACAATGTGCACCCCATCCGAGCTTCGGTCCCTGGCGAGCCTTGCCAAGGAGAAGGGATGCTACCTCCTAGTCGACGAAACGTACTCGGAGCTCAAGTACCCATCCGAGTCCGCTGATGGAGTAGATTCTTCGATTCCATCGGCGGCTGCACTAGGTGACCATGTCATTAGCGTTTCCTCCTTGTCCAAAGCCTACGGCGTCCCTGGCATCCGCATCGGGTGGCTTATTACAACCAATGTTGGCCTCCAGGAAACATTCCTTGCCGCCAAGGAACAGATCAGCATTAGCGGGAGTGTCCTCGACGAGCTCGCTGCTGAGCAGATCCTGTCTCGTCGGGCCGAACTACTGGCTGTGACTATTGCCGATATGCGGAAGCGGAGAGACCGCGTCGCGAGTTGGGTCTCTGAGGAGAGCGAGTGGCTCGATTGGGTTAAGCCAGAGGCAGGGGTGATGTGCTTCATCAAAATCAGGAAAGAGCCGGCTGGAGGAATCGAGACGTTCTACAAAAGACTACTAGAGAGGCACGGGGTGTATATCGGTCGAGGAGGCTGGTTCGAGAGGGATGATAGCTTCTTCAGACTGGGCTATGGGTGGCCGACGTGGCAGGAGCTGGAACAGGGGCTTTCTGGGATCTCGAAGGCTCTCCGGGGATGATCTTCGTTTCGATGGGAGAGCGATGGATTCAAAAGAGAGCCCAGTGGAACCAGTCTGTTTTCTATCGTAGGCTATATGAAGCACACTGCTTTTCCGTGGCTGTTGTGTAGTTATCGTCCTCGTAATAGTCCTATCCTCCTCGAATACCGCAATTCCTTATAAATATAACCTCAAATCAACCCCGCCCCCTCCTGAGTAATGGAATTATGTTAGGACTGGGTTGCCATAAAGGACACTATCAAATCTATCTAGCTAAAGCTCCTCAGCAACCTCTTGAAACCGCACCACGCACTTCAGGGCCTTCGGCACCGCGTCATGGGTGCTACACTGCTTCATCGACTCCGGAGTCGTCGAACTGCCCATGACGGTCTCGTACCTGAGATATAAGTTTGCAATGAGCATTTTAATCTCCAATGTTGCCAGCGCCTTCCCTAAACAAATCCTGGCACCATACCCAAACGGAATGAGCTGTGCCTCTCGCATCTTTAGCGTCAATGGGTCCTCGTCGAGCCATCTTCCCGGATTGAATCGATCTGGATCGGGGAAGATACGCTCGTCCCGATGAAGTGCCACAACGGAGGTCGAAACGATGGTGCCTTGTGGGAGAAAGACTCCGCACAGGACATGGCCACCCTGGGGAACGACACGCTCGGCTCGTCCACTGGAGGCTGGATGCAAACGGTAGACCTCACGCAGACAAGCTTCCAGCGAGGGAACATGACTGTCGAGGTCGGCAAAGGCCAATGAGCCGTCGGGTTGCACGGGCAAGGCCGTCAGTTCCTTGCGTATTTTCCGCTGCCACTCTGGGGCCTCTGTTAATCTCCAGATGAGATACGTCGCCGTCACGGAAACTGTGGCCTCGGCTGCATTGATGTTATCGAGGATTTCGGCGACGACGTATTCCCGGTCGAGCTGCTGCTTTTTCTTTTCCCCGTCGCTCCCGCGGATTTCCAGGAGGTGTCGGAGGAGAGATGGAGAATTAGACATGCTGGGCGCCTCCATTGCCCCCAGCGTGCGTTGCTTGCACCAGGATGCGAATTCATTGTCTGCCTGTAGATAACGCAGGCGTGGAGTGAGCTTCCCGAATATGCAGGAGATATAGTGATAGGCGTTCGGATACCGCATGCGCAACGAACCGACAAACTGTTGGTGCTTTAAAAGGGCGAGAATGTCGCGCTCAGGGCAAGGACATTCGATGGCACGAGAACCGAAGTCAGGTCCAAGCACCAGGTGCGTAATGATATCAAGCGCGTACCAGTCTGTCAGGCTGTAGACGTCAACCCCCTGCCCATGTTGGATCTCTCGCAGCACTGCTCGGGAACGCTCTTGCACATAGTGTTCGATTTGTGGTAGCTTGTATATGGTTGTAGGTTGATAAAAGGCCGAGATTAGCTTACGTTTTGCCCGGTGCTCCTCGTAGGGCTTGGTCGCAAAAGCGGACCGCATGCCATATCCCTTAAAGTGGTCAAAGTAATTGCTCTTGGGCCATCGAAGGGTTGTGCCGTAGATGTCCTTTGTGCTCTCCAGCGTGGCCACAGAGACCTCGTTCGGGGCGATGCACACAACAGGACCATACTGCCGGTGCCATTGAAGAATATGGTCGTTTCGGCAATACCAGATGTCATACCAAGCTAGAGGAATACCAGACACCTTTGGTAGCCAGGGCCCAGGGACATGACGACCGAATCTATAACGGTGATAAAGTACCCATCCAAGGGTGAGCAAGGATACGATTGCCAACGCGACAAAGAACCAAGTTCTGAGAAAGGGCACCCATTCCCGTACGAGCTCCAGCGCTGCGGAGAGCATTGTTGACCAGCGACAATACAGCACGTAGTCAGTTCAGTTCTAGTATCTGGTTAGAATTGAATAGATGTGATGGACGGATAATCAAGATACGTCTGACCCCCTTCGCTGGGGACTTGCTTAGCGAGGCCATCTTCATGACTCTTCCATACTACATAAAACTATTCCAATTACGTGCCTTGGTAATCAGGGCATGAAGGAAAACTCTTGACCGCAACACAGCGATTGATTCTGCTGCAGGAGACACGAAAATCCCTGCAGCTACAGGATGCCACCTTACAAAAGACCGGCTGAAAAGCTGATCAGAGTCTCCAGATCCAATCACCATGTACAACGAAGAACGATCGTGCTCCCGGCCAGTGGTTATATTGGCCAACGATGGCCACAGATGCTGTGCCTGGTTGCTCCATCACAAGCACGACTCAGTCATGCCGCTAACATGTCTTATATTTATACGTAACATATTATTATACCTGGTCTCTGCTACAGGTTCTGATTGGTTAGCCTAAATCGAAATCCACCCAAGTTGCCCAGGCTTGAGGGCAGGTTGTGCATGTCTCCCCACCGTCTGAATTGCCATGTCTATGCGACACACTGCCAGGAATCCTATACAGAGTAAAGATCTACCATGCAGTGAATGGCCAACAAACCCCGCGGATGAATAGGTAAAGGTCCAGTTTCTGCTACGACACTAGAAAATTGACACTCTGCATTCTGTGAGAAATAGTTACTATCAAGATCATTCCGCCTTAACGCTGCCGAAGATGACCACCGATGATTCCGATCGAGTTGGCGACCGAGAATATCCTCACGAAGCTCAAAATCCGCCTTCCGATACGAGTTTGCCCGTCGCGATGGATTTTACAAACGGCGCAGGAGGGAAAGGTGCCAGCATCTCCTCAGCAAATGGAGTCGATGGCCCCAGCGCGCATGGTAGTCCGACTCCTCTATTAAGGCAGAGCAAAATGGAGCACCGGTTGGAACCCCATTTACATGGCGAGTTTGTAGCAGTTCATGCTTCTGCGTCATCTGAAAAGCAATTGTCGGCGCCTGAGCTGATAGGGAGTCTACCTCCCGCCCCCTCGACGCAAACCACGAACATTGACCTGACGTCCGGGGACCTAGAACGAATCTGGGAGTGGAATAGCACTGTCCCAGCAGCAGTAAAACAGCGCGTTTGTGATTTGATCGAAAAGAGAGCCCAAGCCCAGCCCAGTGCTCCCGCTATTTGCGCCTGGGATGGGGAGTTGACACACGGTGAACTGAACCAGCTTGCCACCAAGTTAGCATCAAAGCTCATTGGCCTTGGGATTGGACCGGATACCTTCGTGCCCCTATGCTTTGAAAAGTCTATGTGGACTACCGTTGCCCTAGTTGGGGTCATCAAAGCCGGCGGTGCCTTTGTCCTACTTGATCCATCCCTTCCAGAGCAACGCCTGCAGGGCATTATCACGCAGCTCAACGCCAGCGTGGTTCTAACCTCAGCTGCTAATCATGAGATGACTTCGCGGCTGGCACAAATAGCGATTGTCCTCGACTGGAGCTTCTTTGCAGCCATCGGCTTCGACGGCATTGAGGAGACGAACCAGCAGGCCAAACCCAATCCAGCCAGTCCGGAATCGCTCCTCTATGCAGTATTTACATCAGGGAGCACTGGTGTGCCAAAGGGCGTCCTCATAACTAACACAAACGCTGCGTCGGCTCTCCACTATCAGGTAAAGAATATGGGGATCAGCGAGCATTCACGAATATTCGATTTTGCATCATACAGCTTTGATGTGTCTGTTAGCAACGTGCTCACAGCTTTAAGTGCTGGCGGCTGCCTATGCGTCCCCAGCAACGAAGACCGCAGCAATAATCTAGAGCAGAGCATCGCATCTTTGAGAGCCACTGTGCTTGATATCACACCATCGATTGCCCACGTGCTATCTCCAGATAGGATACCTACAGTCAAGACACTTATTTTCGGAGGAGAGGCCCTGCATCTTCGGGATATCGAACCCTGGTGGGGGAAGGTTCAGATCATTCACATCTACGGGCCTTGCGAATGCACACCAACCAGCACGATTAACTACGATAACGACAGCGCCGCGAGCCCGGAAGAGGCGGTCCATATCGGAAAGGCTGTGGGACTGGTGAGCTGGATAGTTGATCCAGAAGACCACAGCATACTCCTGCCGCCAGGATGCGCCGGCGAGTTATTGCTCGAAGGCCCTCTTGTTGGTCGAGGGTATCTGAATGATCCGGCAAAGACTGCGGATGCCTTCATCGAGGACCCGGTGTGGCTGCTGCGCGGCTCGTCATCCTGTCCTGGGCGCCGTGGAAGGCTCTACAAGACGGGTGACTTGGTCCGATACACTGAAGAGGGGTACCTGCAATATGTTGGCCGGAAGCAAGCTACTCAAGTTAAGATCCGAGGTCAGCGGCTGGAGCTCGGGGAAATCGAGCACACACTTCGTAATCATGCCTGTGTAGACGAGGCTGTTGCCGTCTTGCACCGCGAAGACGGACAGGAGTCCCGCATTGTGAGCTTTGTGACCCTGCGTGACGCTGCAGTGGAGGAGCAGCTGGAAGAAGGCGAGGAGGAAGTGCAGCAGTCGCTCACGAATCGGCTAATGTGGCAACAGAGGCGGAAAGCTCAAGGAGAGCTGTATGCTCTGCTGAAATCTCAGCTCCCGGCCTACATGGTTCCTCAAGCGATCGAAGTTCTGGACAGTATGCCTCTCAACAGGAGCGGCAAGATTGACCGGCAGATGCTCATCCAAGGCCTGAAAGGCCGCCGGACCAGAGTACGAGATGCTGATGCTGTCCGGCAGCCGACGTTGGAAGCACAACGGCAGATGCTGCAGATTTGGGCGCGAGTCCTGCACATTGATGCTTCCACGATTGGGCTGGATGACAGTTTCCTTCATCTGGGCGGCAGCTCGATATCAGCTATGAAATTGGTAACCGAGGCTCGAAAGATGGGCATGAAACTGACGGTCGCCGACATATTTGGCTATCCGGTGCTGCATGAGCTGGTCAACCAGATCCGTCATGAACCCCTGGTTGACCAGGCTCGGCACTTCATTGCACCATTTGCCCTCATAGATGCTGGCGGTGATTTGGGTGCTGTCCTTGCGGATATCTGCAGTCAGTACGAGCTGGGCCATATGGATAACCGCATCAATATACTCGATGCCTATCCGTGCACGCCCCTGCAGGAAGGCCTAATGTCCCTGACGTCAATGAGTCCAGGGTCTTATATCGGGCAAAACGTACTTGAATTATCTCCTGGGATCTCAGTCGAGAAATTGCGTGCAGCATGGGAGCAAGCCGTCCACCAGCTGCCGATTCTTCGCACCAGAATTGTCCAGCACGACCGCATTGGCCTCGTCCAGATCGTGGTCGACACGCCTATACACTGGATCGAAGCAGATTCCTTGGACGACTATCTCGACTCCGATATCAAGCAGCCCATGGACTTGGGCCAGCCGCTTGCACGATACGCTCTGGTCAAAGATGACACGGGAACCCCCAAGTGGTTTGTGTGGACTACGCACCACGCGATCTACGACGGGTGGTCGATGCCTCTTGTATTGGACGTTGTGAATAGTATCGCGCGTGATGAGCCAGTCGAACAAGGGCCGCAGTTCCAAGCTTTCATCAAATATGTCAAGGAGCAGGACGAGGAGACGATGAAGAACTACTGGCGCCATGCTTACCGTGACTGCCAGTGTACGCCCTTCCCCAGTCTCCCACCGCACATCGAGCAGCCCACGGCAGATGGATCCATTGAACATTCCTTCCCACTTCCTCAGAGCAATCGCCTGGGCGTTACGCCACCCATAATTATACGCGCTGCATGGGCCTTCCTTGTTGGTCGGATGAACAGTACGGATGACGTCGTCTTTGGCGTCACGTTATTTGGAAGAAACGCACCGGTTGCGGGCATTGAGATGATGACGGGTCCGACCTTTGCAACGGTCCCCGTACGCGTTAAGTGGGACAGCAGTGACAGGGTTGCGCATTATCTGAATGCAGTGCAAGAACAGGCAACAGGCATGATTGCCTATGAGCAGATAGGCCTGCACAGGCTTGCCCAAGTCAGCCCTGGCGCACGACAAGCATGCATGTTCCAGACGCTGCTCGTGGTGCAGCCGCCGGATGCCAGTGGAACCTCGGACGTGTTTGGTAGGTGGAGGAACGAGCTTGATCGAGGAAGCCGCTTTGATTCATACGGCCTGATGCTTATCGCGCAGCTCGGGGTGGACCAGGCAAGCGTCACAGCTACGTTCGACTCAAGGATGATAGATCCATGGCTGGTAGACAAGCTATTGAGGCGGTTGGGGCATGTGGTCTTCCAGCTAGTTCGGGCCAGTCCAGAGCTGTCCCTTTCAGAGGTCGAAACGACAACGCCTGAGGACCTGCAGCAGATCTGGAGATGGAACCATGCAGTTCCAGCAGCCACAGAGCAGTGTGTCCATCACATGTTTGAGCAGACGGCTCGATCCCAGCCCAGGGCTCCTGCGGTGTACGCGTGGGACGGGGAGTGGACATATGGTCAGCTTGATGAAGTGTCGACGAGGCTGGCACATCATCTAGCCGGGCTTGGTGTTGGGCCAGGAGGACTTGTGCCTCTCTGCTTTGAAAAGTCCCGCTGGACACCAGTGGTGATGCTGGCGGTGATGAAGGCTGGGGGAGCGTCAGTGGCCATGGACTCGACCCAGCCAGAAGAGCGCCTTCGTACGGTCGTGCAACAGACGGAGCCTGAACTGGTGCTCGTGCTGTCATCGTCAGCCAACCGCGAGTTGGCGAGTCGCTTGAGTAGCAAGCCGGTTGTCGTAGTCGACGAGAGCCTCCTAGACACACTGAGCCGGACGCATGCAGCTGGGGCACTTTTATCGGTGACTCCATCGGACAGGCTCTACGTCGCCTTCACGTCCGGTAGCACTGGGACGCCCAAGGGAGCTGTCATTACGCATTCCAATTTCAGCTCCGCCATCCAGCATGTGCGTGCCTCG